TTGATTGTGCCGAGAAACAAGCTTGAAAATCTTTGCTGTTACTTCATGGACGTTTTCTAGAGTTTATGTTTTTCAAAATACAAGGTCTTTAACAAAAAATAACGTATACTTATTGTCGTCGGATTAACACCAAATTTTCACAGCTTTAAGGTGACAATAAGAGGAACTTGAATGTGTCCAGACAAACTATTTCATCGATTATTTACTAACGAGTTGTGGTTTGAGTTGGGGACAATGCGACTAAAACAGTAATTGAAATTCAGGACACTATTTTTTAAAACGCGTTGCTTGAATAAAACTGACCAGACACATTCAATTTACCAGACTATTGAACAACTAGGAAAAGTGAAAAAAAATACTTCTTATCGCCAGCATAAATGCGTAATTATTTTTTTTACAGAAAAAGTAATTTTTCACCTTTGATTGAGTAACGCGTCGTAGAATGCAGATATTGGTATGCAAAATACACTTGTGAAAAGCTTGAAGTCTGGCGATTCTAAAAATATATACTTTCCCGGGTCTATTTGTAGTCATTTAGTCACAATTAGAAGATGAAAACAAGTATGCAAATAATAGTCCCGCTACCTTAAGTCGTTTAAGGCAGTTTGATGCGAATACAAACGTTGCAATTCATTATGGGTTACAGCATATAGTTACTAATAATTGAAGACTATTATCACACACTGAACATTTAAATGTACATTTTTGAATTTGTTTTAACAATATTAGGTTTCATAACAATAAAAATGTATGACGTTGTGATCATGTCACTGAACTAAATTAAACAAATATTAAATAGTTTCGATGATTATTCTGCTTCTGGAGAGAAATTCCATTGACTACAATTTCTGTTGTCATTTTTCGGCGGTATCATTACATTAATCAACAATAATGACATATCCTTTAAATTCAGTCTGAACCTCTTTATTATATATGCTCATTGATGGGGAACAATTTGTGTGGACAATTCTTAAAAACAAATTTTCGTTGATTCAAAGTCGGTTGAAAAATGTTTTGATAAACATAATGAATACATGTGCTAATTCGCATCGACAGCAGTTATTTGTTACTTTTTTATTACACTGAACCAGATTACATTTTGTTACAAATCCGTGCATTTTAATTAGGTAACTTGTATAATAAATAATAATTAGTCATAGCAAGTTAATTTTGAAATTTTCATCTGCAGGAAGCATTGAAACTTAATACATAATTATCATTTACAATATCCATTACTTAATATGCATAATTAATTGTTTCAGCTTGTTTATTTTGGATCATAGCAACATTTTGCCTCAGTAATAGTTTCAATCTAATTAATCTAATTCATTTTAATTAGCATCATGTTTCTGTTGGTTTCATCGTGGTTTTTTTCTATTGTAACATTCTGGATTGTCACTAAGTACATATCTAATTCTGAATTTAATCAGTACATAAAAATGAGTTTATTAGCATACTTAATTTCAACATATTTCGAATGATCGAAACTTGACATATGTGTACTAGTGGTGAGTACTGCATTGATCTGTGCATTTAATTAGATAATTTGCATAATTAATTGGTTTCAGCATGTTCATTGCATACTTGTTGCAATAGTTTGGTTAAATAAAATAACTAATTTGAATAGTAATTAACTGTGTTCATCCTATTTTGTTTCATCTTAGCAGTTTATCGTACATAAATAGTTTACAATTTAAATTAGATAATCGCATGTACCTTGTCACAATGTAGGGCCTGCTTATCGCAATTGAGAGGGCCAACCATAGAACTCACACTGGACAGGGGGTTATTTCACTGCTAGAATGGGGTAGACAAAACAATAGTACTGGAAATGAAATACACATACACCAAAATATCGAGTTAAAGCTCCTGGCTTTAATACCTCTCAAAATAATTACAAGAAATAAAACACAGAAAAATACAATGAATAAAGTCACTAAAATAGGGGATTGTCTAGGGAAGTGTGCATTGATGATATGATGTAGAAATGGATGACAGTCGATGGTTTCTGCAACACAACAACAAAGAGATACAAGAGTCTTGCTTGCATAAGAACGCTGTTATTCTGGGGCACCGCTGAAAGCAGGAGATCGCAGAGCAGTTTATACAAGTCTCACAGAACGATGATTGAAGCTTGTATCACTGTTTCAATTTGCCTGTATCAATTTGTAGCCATAAATGGCCCAGATTTAGGGACACCACCTGGGTTTTCACATGAGGCAATGAGAATGTGGTCTTGCTAGCATCCTTTGTTATTCAAATAATAGCACACCTGGTAGATTGCAATTGTCCTTCCAAAGTTGTAAACACCTTTTGTTATGTAAATCACAAGCACACCTGGTAGATTCCAACTGTCCTTCCAGAGTTGAAAACAAGTATGACCTGTCAATCACCTTTATGACAGTTATCACATGGCAATGCACACCGTTACTTCCCATGGTTCCATGTACACTTCTATTTATACAGGGTTTGAGGTAATATGACAAAAACATAGACTAAAGGATGCTGGCATGCCTGTTTTCAGTTTGTGTTACTATCATTTTGTAAATACAAAACAAATGATTTACCTATTTTTCAAACAAAATCAATACACATTGCGAGTTAATCTGTCAAACTAATTTGCATATTGAACAATTATTTAACACATGTGAGCACTTTAGGTCTATGTCTTGGTTATGTGGACAACATTTCACGACCAATTCATACGTTAATATTTTAATACGATACGATTTCAAACTGAAATATTCAAACTTTCTCATTGTGTATCGTAAACATGCCCCGCCATTACAGAATGTTTGCGGGTATTCGACCTATTTAAGATTTATTACAAATTGTGGTTTCCAAAGGACCTCTTAGAAGAATCATGCCCAGAATAATAATTTATGACAATCTTAATCATTCATCGTATAACTTCAATTACGTTTACGGCATAATCTATGATGATGGTAAAGTACTCTCAAATCGGGACGCTTAACACATTTCCGTGCTAACAATTGTTTATTCATTTTTGTCGGTTTTGTCAACAACAATATTATAATAAGCTTATATCTTAATGACATTTATAGAAGTCCAATGGTAGTATGGGACGCATCAAATATTTACTTGTGCCCTATCAATATGTAAATGAACAATATTAACGACCTCCTTCAGTGTATCCCATCAGCTATAAACGTGAATTATCTGTTGCTGTATGTGTATTAATTAAACAAGCTTGCCAATCATTCATAAACTAGATATTATTTATTTAGATAAATATCTGACTTATTATTGTTATGGTTATTAACTTTAAAATAATATGAAGACAACGCTACGCCATTATGACGATTAACGTAAAAGTGATATTTTGCATCTGACGTGTGTCAGTTTATGTGTGTTGATTTTCAATGATGAGTAATTTAGAATATGATATTTTATACCTACTAATTAATTAGGTATCTTTGAGATGGGGGTCATTGTTTTTTTTATGATATCAATTCGAAGTAATATTACCCAATTGAATGCATTGCATCTTACTAGATGCAGTTTCATAATAACGGAACAAAAGAGGACAATATATTAGGAAATTCCTTTTAGATACTGAGTTGATAATGAGTATGAACCCTCAGGATGTGTGGCCGCTTTGGGGACATATTACCGGACGTTACATCCTAAAAGTGTGTATATGCTACATTTATTTGCGCCTACGCGAAAATCACCAATGTCCACATCGCTTTTTTTCTCTGGCGTTTCCTTTGACTGGACCGTCGTATATATGCATTACGAAATGTGATACATGTGAAATTAATATTCAGGTAATCCGTTTTGTGAATAACTAATCAGAACTTATCGTGAGGTTGACACAACGTCTACACATGCAAAGTAAATAAAAATGTCACCTCGATGGCTGCCACCGGTCATGCGAATTCGCAATGAACTTATACCGTCCTCTTCCAACCTCCACCGATTTGAAATTACAACTCATTATTACTCATTGCTGTTAGCTTCACGTTATATTTGAAGACAATATCAAAAGAATCATTTAGTTTCAGCACGTCTAGACCATCAGCAGCCTAAGCAAATGTCCCGCATGATTTAGTGATTACAGCGTCATTTAGCGAGAAGATAAT